TACTACAACATAATGCCATTCGGACTAAAAAACGCAGGAGCAACATACCAGCAGATGATGAACAAAGTCTTCCATGGTAAGATCGGGGACATGCTCGAGGTGTACATGGATGACATGATCGTGAAATCTCGAGCAAAAATAGATCATGCTTCCCATCTCAAGAGAATTTTTCGCACAAGACAATGCAAAATGAGATTCAACCTGGAGAAATGCACCTTCCGGGTCAAGGAGGGCAAATTTCTCAATTTCTATCTAACCGAACGAGGAATTGAGGCCAACCCCGATAAATACCGAGAATTATTCGAGCTCTCCACACCAAGCTCAAAAAAAACCATACAAGTTCTAAACAGCATGCTCACCTCGCTTCCCCGTTTCATGGAGAAGTCCGCACAACACGCACTCTCGTTTTTAAAACTCTTGCGTAAAGAGGTGGCTTTCGAGTGGATCGAGGAGTGCGAGCAAGCCCTCTTCCACCTCAAGCGGGATCTTTTACAACCACCCGTGTTATCGCGTCCAGAGAGTAGGGAAACTTTGTTCCTTTATCTGGCCATCTCCACTGAGGCCGTAAGTGCGTCCCTCGTCCGCGAGACACCAGACTGGCAGAAACCAGTGTACTTTACTAGCAAAGCGCTGCATGGCCCCGAGGTCAGATGTCAACAAATTTAAAGGGTAGCCTTGGCGCTCGTCATCGCGGCGAGGAGACTCAGATATTACTTCCTGTCCCACACGGTCGTCGTGCGAACAGATCAGTCCATAAAACAACTTCTAGGTCGACCAGACATGGCTGATCGAATGCTGAAATGGTCCCTATAACTTTAGGGGTTCGACGTTCAGTACGAAAGAAGGACAACCCTTAAAGCCTAAGTGTTGGCCGACTTCTTACAGAGATGACCACCCACGAATCCCCAGCGAGAGGGAAACACAAGTGGACCATCTTCATGGACGGAGCATCTGCTCGGCAGGAAGCAGAGCAGGAATCCTCCTCGAAAATGTAGAGGAAATTGTAATCGAATATTTGCTCACCCTGTCGTTTCCCACGTCGAACAACCAGGCCGAATACGAGGCCCTGCTTGTAGGATTAAGGCTGGACGAAGACCTAGGTGCCCGAGAAGTGTAAGTATTCATGAACTCCCAACTTGTCGCGTCTCAAGTTTGAGGAGAATATCAGGCCAAAAATGATAGCCTCATCGAATACTTGAACCTAGTCAAAGAAAGGATGAAGAAGTTCAACCGGGCGGAAATCAAACATGTACCCCGTAAACAGAACACGCGGGCCAACATACTTTCAAAACTCGCGAGCACAAAGAAAAAAGGTGGGAACAAATTTGTTATCCAAGAATCCCTCTCTCGTCCGAGTATTGAAAAACCCACTACATCGCTCAAGGTGAATTCCACCGGGGACAGTTCACGTTGGATGAACCTAGTATTTAGTTATCTCATAAAAAGAGAGTTACCCGTTGACCAAAAAGTGGCCAATATGACTAAATGACGAGCCTGCTCTTACGTAGTAGTCGATCATAAGCTCTATCGACGGGGATTATACATCCCACTCCTGAAATGCGTCGAGGAGTCCAAAATCCTCGAGATCTTACAGGAAATCCACGAGGGAATAACATTTAGACAGAAGATCTCTGGCACAAAAGGCATTGCGAGCAGGGTATTACTATCCCACCATGCAGCAAGACGCGAAGGAGCATGTCAAAAAATGTGACAAATTTCAAAGACACGCGGGCATGCACCTCGCACCGCCACACGAACTCAAAATATTGTCGTCCCCGTGGTCGTTCTCCTGGTGGGGTATGGACATCCTCAGATCGTTTGTACAAGGATCATATCAAAATAAATTCATGATCGTGGTCGTCAAATACTTCACGAAGTGGATAGAGGATGAAGCCCTGGCCAAAATCACGTCACATAACATCCTTCGTTTCTACAAACGAAACGTGCTTGCCCATTAGGCATACCACAAGCGCTCGTCACTAACAACGGGACACAGTTCACTGACCAAAGTTTCCAAGAGTTCATCGCCAAGCTCGACACCGAACATCATTCCACGTATGTCGAACACCCTCAAACCAACGGGCAAGCTGAGACTGCGAATAGAGTCATCTTATGAGGATTCAAGTGCAGGTTGGGAGAAGCCAAAAAAAGGTGGGTCGAAGAGCTGCACAACATCCTATGGGCGTACCAAGTGACACCACACTTGACGATCGGCGAAACCCCATTTTGACTAAGGTATGGCACCAGAGCACTCATTTCCGTGGAAATCCTGGAGCCATCTAGAGGAACTGAGGTCCGTTTAGACAAGGAACTAAATGATGAGGCCCTAAGGGAAGAGCTTGACCTAGTCGAAGAAATTCGATCAAGAGCGTCTCTTTGTGAAGCCACAGTGAAATAGCAGATAACCCTATATCATGACACCAAAGTCATAAAACGCGAATTCCAAATCAGCAACCTAGTCTTGCGGAGAAATCAAAAAGATTCTTGTGAAGAAAAGTTGGTCGCCAACTGGGAAGGACCTTAGCGCATCTGCGGGGAAACAGGCACTGAAGCCTACCACCTTGAATGCGTAAGTGGAGAATCACTACCTTGACTGTGGAACACTATAAAGCTAAAACAATATTACATCTCGGTTCTTGATAAGCGTCGGAGCCCAGCAGTTGACGTACCCTCTCTGACAAATGACAGGGCTCGCTCGACCATATAAGCATGTTGAGGTACGAACATAGCCTCCAACCATTAACGAAAGGTGGGGTTTTCCTCATTGATCGAGCGAAACTTTAGCCCAACGGGGACACCTCAATCGAGCTCCACCATCGAAGTATCCAATAGGCAGAACATCGAGCTCGCGATGGGCAGTTTACGCCACGAAGTCAAGACCGCGATCTTGACCTCGTCCATACGGACTCCTACTCTGCTTCCTCGACACATCCCAACATGTGTCGACCATAATTAAGATCGAGCGCAAACCTCCACTTATCAAAATTCCACATCTCCCGAAATAAATGGATCAAGTACAAAAATAGAATATCATAATGCAAAACATAACGAAATAAAAGCATTAGAAAGCCGACCATGAAAATCGGTGTTGTCTATACAAAAAACGGGCAAAGCCCCTCGACCAAAACAGTTAAAACAAAAACTGACACGCATACCAAATAAACAAACGGGCACGCAAGATATTTGTCACAAGATATTTGTGAAAGAATTTTACTTAAGCGAATGCTAGATGAGATCAAAATTCCTACCAATCACCCCATGAAGATATTATGTGATAACAAGGCTGCTATTAACATTGCGAATAACTCGGTACAACAAGATAGAACAAAGCATGTGGAGATATACCGACACTTCATCAAAGATAAAATTGATCATGAAATTATATGTGGTAACCATATTCCATCATGCCAGTAAACTGCAGACGTTCTAAAAAAAACCCTTCCAAAGAACATATATGAGAATATCAAATTCAATTTGGGTAATGATAGACATCTACCACCCAGATTAAGGAAGAGTGTCGAATAATCAATACAAAATCAAATGATTTTGTTTATACAACTCATTAAGGATTAGGATTAATGTATTTCTGTAATTAGAATTAACATTCATTGGAAATTAATTCCCCCGATTCTTAGATCAGATTTCTCTTCCAAATTTTTCTATGTATTCTATAAATAACGCATATGTAATTCTCATCAAAGATAAAGAAACACTTCTTTCGTTCTACAATGAGTGACTCATTTAGAATAAAATAATATCCTAAAATGATCCGTTTCAATTTCAGATACATTTTTTCCAATTCTATTCTTTAATCAATTAAAATTTTATTATTTCTAATATATTATTAAAGATACTATGATAAAAACATTATTTTCTCTCTTGTTTTTTTATATATTTTTTAATATGTATAAAATAGTGAACTAAATCACGTAGTGTGGAACGGCAGTTTGCATTTAGAAGAAAAAAAAAGGTTAGATTATGAGTGTATTGAGTGAGATGTATATGTGTTACATTGTGTTGTTTGCACTTCTCTTAAATTATTTCTTAGGCTACATAACTTAAGATATTTTTTCTCCTTTTTGAACACATGCAACCACGTGCCCTTCCAATTTTACACACCAAACATTGACCATGTAGGGGATAACCTTGTGTTGCCTTCTCTTTTCCTTTGTGCCAATATAAAATTTTATTGACTAGGCCAACTTTTTTAATAGATAAGGTCAATACATCATCAAACTAAGTCCAAAAAAATAAAAAAATTAAATAAGTTTTATTTCTTTTAAATATCTCAAATTTTATTTTTAATTCTTCTAAAATTTTCTTTTAAAAAAATAATCTTTTTAAAAAATTAAATTTTAACTTTTGATTCTCCTGTAATTTAGTAACGATTTTTACAACTTAGCGACAGTTTTTATTTAACGATGAAATTAAAAATTATTTTAACTACAATTTTGTCAGAAGAGACCAAAAATTAAAATTTAATTTTTTTAAAAAATCATTCTTCAAAAGAAAATTTTAGAAGGATTAAAAATGAAATTTGAGATATTTAGAAGAATCAAAAACTTATTTAATCCAAAATAAAATAACAAATTAAATCAAGCAATCATCAAGCAGTGAAAAAACTACAATCAAACACTTGTGAAAGATAATCAAAGTACACAAACAACAAAAAAATTAACTTGACATAAAAGAAACTTTATTAGCCAGCCCTTCCTTTATTGCATATAAACCATTTATTTACAAGAAAATAGTCTCTCCCCAAAGGGAAAGAATCATGGTGTTAAGCAAAGAGAATGTTACATAAATTCTCCCCTCTGCTTCACTTTCTTCTTGTACTATAATTTTTTTACATGATATAGATAAAGCAACAAACATCGTATCCAAATAAACATATCAATCATAGATACAAAAAAAGCAACAAATCAGTAACCTGAACACCAAACCAATCTACAAAGTCACATCACATGGTGCATTGCTATCGACACCCCCTACCCCTCATATTAAAGGAGAAGGCAAGTTTCAGGGTGATGCTTGAGCTGTTGTTGGGACCAATATGCATGAGCAGTAAGGACCCTATCCAAAAGTTCTTGGGGGACAGGCTCACCTCTTCTCTGTTGAGGAGATATTCTTGCTGTGTGTACCAATGTTTTCCACTTATCCTGCATTATCCCATACCTATATCACATGCCAGCTCTTTTTTCTATGCTATATAAGGAAAACAAATCAAAAGATATTACAAACAACAATTTCAATATGAACAAATTTAGCAGGTTTCGATCCTTGACCAGTGCGAATAAAAAAATTTGAGGGAGAAATCAACCCATTAATCTCGAAAAAATTAGTCTTCGCAGATGCTCGCAGGAATACTATAATTTACCATCAATGGAGCAATAAATAGCTTACCTAATACACAAGCAATTTACTTGCCTTGATAGAACAGCTAAGTTGTATTTTTATAGAAGATAACAGATCATGCACAAGAAAGCATGCTACCAAAATGACTTCAATTGTGATAACCACGTTGTATTTAAGATTCGTTTGTGTAAGAATACTATAGTATTCAGTATAAGAAATAAGAGTGTTGCTATATATGCAAAAGGGTGACAGAAGTTTTTTACCTTCAAATCCACATATGTCCTATGCTTTGCATCATCAAAAGCGCGAAGTTTAACATCACGCCACCTGATTTTTTTAAGGACAGATAGGTAAATAGAGCCATGCACGTTGTTGATTAAGGACTCACTTGTGTAAAACGAGCTTATGAAAATAAGTTATAGACATTTCATAAGTAACAAGAAGTTTGCTCAAGTTCATCAAAATATTACTGCCAAAGGCCTCTAAAATATAAATCTATTGTGTAATGCTTACCTTCCGGTTCCGAGTCTCTCGACTGCTTCAACCAGTGCCTCCACTTCAGCAACAGAAAAAGGCCTACGAATTCGTCGGCGTTGAGAGATCTCGGTTCGTTTTGGCTTCTGGTGACTCTGGTTCACTGGAAGTATATCTAGTCCCTCTGATCCCATTTCAGGAATAGTAACAAGTTCTTTGGAATCTGAGAGTTTTTTGCCACCTAATGGATTGATAGGAGAAGGTGCTGAATCATTATCACTTTCAACAATGTTACCTAAAGTCGTTACTTGATGGTCGGTGTCAGAGAAACCTTGAATCCTTTGAATCGGAAAAACTACAGCTGGACTCGAAGAATGCCTGAATATTAATTCTCTCGGTTTAGATAAAAAAAGATAATGATAATAATAACAGCAGCAACAACATTTCGATGACACCATCTCCGAGGAAATTTGAGATTTCATCAGAAACACTGACACAACTTTTTGTTTTTAGTAGGAATCAAACTTGGTTGGTACCTTTGGGTTTAAAACACACACACACTACACACTGTGCACCAACCACCTGCGCTACTAGACCTCCATGGTACTGACACAGCATATTCTAGTTCAAGTAGTTGGTATAATTAATGCAATCGATTGCAAGTTAGGCATTACCCTATTAAAGATATAGGCATGTCTCCACTGGGAACATTAAGAGAATGTTTAGCACATATGAGTGGTAGGCTTTGAGAAGCATTAGACTCCAAGGTGAATCCCAAAGCATCCAGCTCGTTATCATGAGAAATTCCAGTCTGAAGTAGAGTTTTACTGTCATCTCTAAGTTTCTTTCCATGGAGAATCATACCAACACGCAATCCGCCTCGAAGTAGAGTAGTTACTGCCTCCATAACTGCTTTCTGCAGACCAAAATTTTATGTCAACGATGCAATAAGGATCATATAACATGACTGATGAAGCGGACAAGAATACATAGAACTTTATTGTACCTTCAAGGATGCAACGGTTGAAGTTTCTGGAATCTCAATAAAAAGCTCCGGCACTCTAAATGATTTGATCCTAAGCTTCACTGATTAAAAGAGAGACATCTTCGTGTAAGAACTGGTTTGAAGATATCAATCAAGTCAAAGAGTAATAAAAAAAATTGCCCTCAATCTTTGCATACCATGAGAATCTCTAGATTTTAAACCAGAACGATGATGATATGCTTCCAGGGATGACTTTCCAGGATCTGCATAAAAGATTTGGAATTTATCAGCAAAATATGGTGCCTTGAATAGGAAGATTGCATTAATTAAGAGTTAAACCTTTGCGAATCCGAGATGATGAACAAGAAACGCCTTGATTGATGTCGTTCTTTGTTGAATAATAAGTGCGGCCACTTCTGATATTTCCGTTAGAATTTGAAGTGGCGCTGCAGTCAAAAATCTTCCTCTTTTTGAAAGGAATATTCATTTGGGATATTTGGTGACTATAACTGTTCTTCCTACCATTCTGAACTGTGTTGAAATTTCTATCCAAAACTAACATGTTTCAAAATCATAAAAAAGATCAGTGAGCAAACAAATAGAAGCACAATAAGTGACGAAACAAAAAAGCTAGTAATTCCATATGATAATTAGGCATCACCTAACTCACCATTGTTAGAAAGTGTATCATGCTTTGATTCTCGAGCAACTTTCCGATATTTAGAAGCCAACCTTTTCCTTATTCTTTGATCACCTATACAAGTCTTTGGCCGAAAGGCCTTAGTTTTTGAACTAGGGTGAGCACACCCTGATTTGTTTTCGTCATCATCTCTACTAACTACTGTTACATTCTCACTACCTTTTAACAATGAGCTACGAGGTATGCTATCGCTGTGCCCTGACAACTTAGCATTTCCATCTGAAACGACCAGCACCGGAGGTTTATCGTCTATTGGATCCTTAAAACATCGTGTTCCAGTCTCAGCACCGATTGGCATCTCAGAATTCCGGAGCCCGTCTTTTACTATACTTACATCAACATCTAAGTTGCAATCACTACAATCTGGAAATCCAGAGGATCCTAATTCAACTTTGCTAGTTATATTTTTCATTTCACTATGGCTTTTTACATCCAACAAAGTGTCAGTAACCAACCTCTCCGAGCAACTAGAACTTGTTAATATAGAAGCAATGCATGAACGATCATCAATTTCAGGACGCAGACTTTCCTTCAAACCGGAGTTTAGATCGAACTCCTGTAAAGAAAGAGTGGAGATACATTTCCTGTCACTACTTCCCTCATCAGAAAGCTCGGCTTTTAACGGCTTGTTCATATCAACGCTCCCTTCCTTAACAAATCCATGTTGAAGCCTTTTCTCACAACTTGCTTCATCAGGAAGCTCGGCTTTGAATGGTTTATTTCCATCTTGGACTTCTTCTTTAACAAATCTGCGCTGATCTTTTTTCATCAATTCATCACTAGATGTGATTGGATTCTGTTTCTCTTGCAATAAAGTGCCGGATGCTACGGTGGCCAATAAATCAATCGCGCACATTTGATTGTTTTCCACCCTTGTCTGAAATGTATCCCTCTTCTACGAAACATCATTAAAAAAAGTATTTACATTGAATGTTTTGATAATCATGAAAATAAATAGATAGCACGAAATCAGCACCATAAGAGAAGCAGAACTTGTTTACCCTAGTTGATCGTGCAGCACGCGGCTTTGTTGGCACCTGATAGCCAACAAATCCATAATCTATCCTCTTCTGCGCCACCATATCTCGGAAAACATGCCAAAATAAGAAATGATCAAATAAACTTCTATAAACTTCTACGTCACGTGTTGCTCGACCCTACCAGTCTCAATTTGGAAGCCTGCATTAAACACCCAAACGGGATGTCTCAGACGCATTATTGCAAGCGGATACAAAATAAGAATTATGCTACTAATTAACTAGGTAAGTTAAGAATGACAAAGCATATTGTATGCAAAAATCATCAAATGAAAAAGAAAAAAAGTTCAAATAATACCAAAAAGTTAAAACCTTTAGCAGAGGAGTAAGTAATAAAACCAGATACAGATGAAGACACAAAATGAATCAGCAAAGAGTAACATATAATTCGCAAAAAAGAATCTCATTCTCATACATGATATCATATTCATACAGCAACAGTCTTCTAAAAACTCCAAACAGAAAATCATAAAAAGAAAAGAGAGAGAATAAAAGTTGAAAAAGAACACAGGAAAGCGATTCCAAAACAAGACCAGATTCCAGAAACCAGACATATTCACGAGAAAGAGAAAAGTAAGCAAAATTCAGACAAAAGTCACATAACCGATCTTAAACCTCGGAACAGAATGGATCTCATTAAAAAAAAAAAAAATTCACCGAACAAAAGCAAAAAGAAAAAACCTACGACGTGCAAAACGGAAATCATAGATCAAATCAACACAAACTAGAACTAAAGAAAATGAAAGATCAAGAAAACCAATAAAGAGAGAGAAAGTAACATAAAATGAAACAACTCACGAATCATGTAAACTGTGTTCGTGTGTCCCAACAACACAAACAGTCCCAAAACAAAAACAACACACGTCAAAAATTTTCAACGTTATCTCAATTCTCAAACCCCAAGGATAAACCCAACAGTTTTTTTCCCAATAAAACAAACAAAGTTAGCGTAGTTTAAGGAAACAAAGGTTAAACACGACGATCACCTATTAACACAGGTTCTTGTTCGAAGATCAAATCTCAAAGTCGTAAAAAAACTGAAACGTCGGAAAATTCAAGCAAAATGTGAGATCGGGGTGATGAAAAAGGTTCACTCATTTTATTGTCGAAAGAAAAAACATGATTTCGATTTCAAGTACCCATTTCGAAAATAGTTTGGTTAAGGTTGTTGTGTTGTGCCTATGATGTGTTTGTGTTAATGTTTTTGTTTTTGTTTTGTCTGTGAATCTGAAAGTAAAACCCTGTGAAAAAACCATGACAGTTTTTGGCTTAAACCCCAAGAGTTTATAGCATTGACCGCGTGTTACCGGTTCTATCGGTGGTTATGGCAAAAACTACCGGATATAGCGGGTGAATGGTAAAGACACCTTTAGACCTGTTCCACGCAACTGGGTAGTAAAACACTGGGTTGATATGATGATGACACGTGGAATATGTTTGGATCTTGTGGCTGATTCTGGTCCGCATGATCGTGAATGACGCTTAGTCACTCGCATTTTCTTTTTTTCTTTTTCTTTTTGATATTTTTTTGTGAAGAAAATTGACATTGGTTTGAATGTGGTTTGTACTTGTGGGAATTTTTGTCAGTTCGGTTTATTACATCAACCACGTAGTAAATAAATACTCTCTTTTATTTCAATGGGGATCGCGGAAAACTGCAGCTCAAATATTGTATTATTATTACTGTTGATTTATTGATTTGTTAATTATTGAATTTTAAAAAATATATATTAAATTAGATTTGTTAAAATATTAAATTAAATTAGATTTAATATTTAAATATAATTTAAGTTGTGTAGACTCAAATATATAAATAGTTTTAGTTTATATTATTATTTGTAACAATTCAATAATATAAATTCTTATTTTTTTTATTATTTTCTCTTTCTCTCCTTACTAAAAGTGTCTCACGCACTAACAAATTGATATAAAAAATTTTGGTTATTATTCTTGATCGAGTTTTTAAGAATTTCACGTCAGAGATCGTGTTTTTAGGGCAAGTGAATCAATCGCTGCGAAGATGGCTAATGATAAGGGCATTCTGAATTCTCTTACAATACTTGACGGCAAGAACTGGATCCGATGAAAAAACAGATGCAATCCTTGTTTGGCTTCCATGAAACCCTATAAGTGGTTTCCGACGACATTCTTGTATTGGCTGCAAATGCAACCGACGAATAGAAAAAACCACAACGAAGTCAAGAAGAAAGATTGTAAGGTTGCTTATTATATTCAGACGGCGGTCGATGCTGTTAATTTCGACATAATCTCTCATGCTGAAACAACAAAGGAGGCATGCGATATTCTGGTGAAGTATTACGAAGAAGGTGAGAAAGTCAAGGTTGTTAAGTTACAAACCTTGCATCGATAATATGAGTTGTTGTCGATGGGAGAAGATGAAAAAGTTGCAGAATATGTGTTGAAGGTTCAAAACTCGTCCATCTCATGAAGGATTGTGGTGAAACCATAACTGATAAGATGATAGTTGATAAGGTAATGAGAACGTTGACCTCTCACTTTGATCACGTTATCTTAGTTATTCAAGAATCCAACAATCTTGAAACCATTAAAGTGGAAGATTTGGTTGGTTCGTTGGAGGCGCATGAGATGAGGATTGTCGAAAGGAAAGGAGTGCAAGACTCGATAGAGGCTCTGCAAGCTCAGTCATGGAAAAAGGATGGTGGTTCCAACAAATTCAAAGGCAAGTTCGACAAGACTCAGGGCAAGAAGTCTTGGTCGAAACCTCACAAACATCAGGTCGAAGATGGAGCTTCTAAATCCTCGAAAGGAAGAGGAGGAAACTATCGAAAGGGCAAAGAAGATAAAAAAAGGTGTGCAATGTTATAATTGTGAAAAGTGGGGTCACAAAGTCAAGAATTATTGGTACATAAAAGACAAGGGATCGATAGGCAAGCACGAAGGAGTGAACCTTGCACACCAAGATTCAGATGATTCTGAAGGTGGTATGGTGGTTATGGCTGCATTTATAGATAACCATGTCGAATCCAAGATCCAGTTTCTTGACTCAGGCTGCTCGAACCACATGACTGGTCAAAAGGAATGGTTGGCAGTTTTTAACGAGTCAAAGAAGAGAAAAGTAAAACTTGTCGATAATAGTTCATTGCAAGCAGAAGGTACTGGCAATATAGTCTTTCAAATGAGTAATTAAGGGAAAGTTATGATCAGAGATGTGTTTTATGTACCTGGAATAAAGTGCAACTTGCTAAGTGTTGGACAACTAGTCGAAAAAGGTTTCTCAGTTTTCATAAAAGATGGAGTGTTGAAATTGTTCGACACCAAGAACAATTTGGTCTTAAAATCTCCGTTGTCGAAAAATAAGACATTTAAGACTATGATCAGTTCGACAGAAGTTCAATGTTTGAAAATTATTGTCGACCATAAGGATAGCTGGTTGTGGAATTTGAGGTTTAAACATTTGAATTTTCGATCACTTAATCAACTGATTACTCAAGATATGGTTACTGGTATTCCGAGTCTTAAGATGCCTGAAAATCTTTGTGAAGGTTATTTAATATGAAAGCAATCCAAAAATTATTTCGTGTTGACTACGCCAATAAGATCATCTTGCATACTGGAAATGGTACATTCAGATGTATGTGGTCTATTCAAAGAACATACAATTGGTGGAAAGAAATATTTTGTTTCGTTTGTCGATGAGTTTAGTCAAAAGTTGTGGATCTATGTGATCAAACTAAAGGACAAAGTATTCAAAATATTTAAGAGATTCAAGATACTTGTTGAAAACTAGAGTGAGAAGAAGATCAAAGTTCTGCGGATAGATGGAGGTGGCGAATACACATCCAAAATGTTTGAAGATTTTTGTGCAGAACATGGTGTTGATCATGAGGTAACTGCTCCTTATACACCTCAACATAATGGAATTGCTTAAAGAAGAAACAAGATCATATTAGATATGGCGAGATGCATGCTGAAGCAGAAGAATTTGTCAAAGTCTTTATGGGGAGAAGCTATTTTGGCTGCAGTTTATATTTTGAATAGGTGTCCTACCAAGATATTAAAGAACAAAGTTCCTGAAGAAGTATGGAGTGGAAAACGACCATCATTGAGTCATTTGAAAGTGTTTGGCTCTATGTGTTACAAGCATGTTCCTGGTGCAAGAAGAAGGAAGCTTGATGACAAAAGTGAACTTATGATTCTGGTAGGATATCATAAAACTAGTGCATATAGACTATTCAATCTAGTTATGAGAAGATTGTGTTTAGTCGAGATATTGTGAATAATGAAAATTCTGCCTGGGATTGGAATTCTAGCAATTCAATTAACAAGCCATTAGTGTGTTCGACTGTCGATGAAGAAACTGATGAAGTAAAGGTCTAAGGAATTGTTGAGAATCCACTCTAAATCGAAGAAGAAGAAGAAGTTGCTGACATTTCCAACACAGTCGAAGAGGTTTTGGCTGAAACAAGCCAAAGACCTCAAAGAAATAGAGTTCTTCCAACAAGACTTAATGATTATGAAGTGGTGGATGATGATGAAGTCATACCAGATGGAGAATTAGTTCACTTTGCTTTACTTGCAGGTGTTGAACCAATTAACTATAGTGAAGCTTTGAAGACTAAACAATATATGGGAGTTAGTCAAATTGTCAGCACATATGAAAGTTATCAAAGTAAAGTGGGTGTTCAAGTTGAAACACAATGCAGATGGGTCGATAGCAAGATATAAAGCAAGACTAGTAGCTTGAGGGTTTATTCAAAGAGAAGGACTCGACTACTCTGAAGTATTTACTCCAGTAGCAAGATTAGAGATTGTTCGACTAGTGGCAGCATTGGCGTGCAACCAAGGCTGGTTGACATTTCATTTAGGTGTGAGATCAGCATTTCAGAATGGTCATTTAGACAAAGAGATCTATGTCACACAACCTCCAGGGTTTATGATTCATAAGGAAACGAGTAAAGTATATAAGTTGCACAAAACGCTTTATGGCCTCAAGCAGGCACCTATGGCATGGAACAAAAAGATCGAATCATACTTAGTCGAATTGAGATTTGTAAAATGCAAATCTGAGTATGGTGTCTGTGATCGGTGGATCTGGAACTGACTGTTTAAAGCTGGTTCGCGAAATGTCGCGGAAGCAAGAGTCGCCACCGTCTTTTATTTTCTCCAAATGGAAAGGACAAAAGCACAGAAAAATTCCTTATAGAGATTGCTCTCGGTTCGGGAGGTAGGTGTGATCGGTGGATCTGGAACTGACTGTTTAACGCTGGTTCGCGAAATGTCGCGGAAGCAAGAGTCGCCACCGTCTTTTATTTTCTCCAAATGGAAAGGACAAAAGCACAGAAAAATTCCTTAAAGAGATTGCTCTCGGTTCGGGAGGTAGGTTATAGAAAGGGAAGGTGTTAGCACCCTTTCTATCCATGGTTATCCATGGGCTCTTAGATACTTGCTCATTTGTGTTTTCAAAAAGGTTTGTTTGCTTTTCAATGTGGGTTTTAAAAAGTTTCTTTGAAAAATTTCAGTTCGACTCGTACGTCAGAGTGTTTGAAAAATTTGCTTTGAGAGCTTTTGAAAAGTGTTGGTGTGAAAAGATTTCAGTTTGTTTTGAAGAGAGCAAGTATCCATGAGTCGTCTACCTACCCTAAGGAATTCGTCTGTGTAAATGTCCTTTAAAGTAGTGCCATCCCACCATTGAGAGGTAGGTAGCACCACCGTTGGAGGTGTTTGGGTCAATTCGAGGTTCGGGACATGGTGATCACCGGAGCAATAGGAAGACACCTTAGAAGCTACCCTCATGCCAGGTTCCCGGATCATGAGGACTTACTAAGACATCCTCTACTCGACGATCACCTTTCGAAGGCAAGGCAACAGTGAGGCGTACCCTAGGGGTGGTGTGTGCGAATTGTGTGTCGTTTTCATTTGCATTTATCTTGTCATGTTCATTGTGATCTACGCTTGATTTTATTTAAGGCCATTCATTCTTTCATGCTTTTTTGTTAACAGTTTAAAAAGTTTGCGGGAAAGGTAAATCTAAACTATTACAAATGGCGCGGGTCCACATCGCCAAAATTAAACCGGACCCGATTTGACGGAAAATAAATAAAGCAAATAAAGTAAAGTGCGAGAAGTAAATGTTACAAGGCTTCGGGAGAGATACATAATTATTTAAATGACATAAAATAAATATGCGAAATTAAATAAATTTAAGAACATGGGCGTTGGACCCTTTTGCAAAATATTTAAAGTTAATGAGGAATTAGAATTAAAAATAAAAAAAGAATGTTTTTGGTATTTTTTAGTGTTTTTAGGAATTTGATGAAAAAAAGAGTTAATTAAAATTAAACTAAACCTAATTCTAATGGTTTTTAAATTTATTATGAAAGTATTAAAATTTGACCTAAATTAAACCTAAGTTTTTTATGTACAATTAATTAAAAAAAATAAATAAATAATATTATTAGAAAGAAAAAAGAAAACAAAAAGGAATAAAAAGTTATTAAACCTAATTCTATATTTT